AATCAAATACATTTTTTTCTTATTTACACTATGATAAATTTATATTTATTAAAATTTATTTTATATTTTTGCACACTGTTTATTAGCTTCACTTGTATGTTTGTATGTTTGTAACCGACTTCTTTGGGCGGGATTTTGACCCACTTTAAACGACCAGATTTCGTTCAAACTTTGTAGATTTATCGAGGACCGATGACAATACAATAATTTGATAAAATTATTCCATTTTTCAATTTGTAAAATATGATTTTTGTTAATTTATATAATTGCACGCCTCATAGCGCGAAGCGCGTGAGGTTGTGCTTTATACTCGACTTGTTACCCGTGTAAAAAAAAAATCGTTTTAAAATTGTCGTTCGTTTAAGATCTTAAACGTGATACAAACTAAGACTATTTTAAGACTCTTTTAAGATGCCAAAAAAAAACATTCCGAGATTTTTTAATAATTATTTTGATTTTTTTAAGACTATTTTGAGATTTTTTCAAGACGATTTTAAGATTTTTTTGAGACTATTTTAAGATTTAAGTTTTAAAATAATTTTTATATAGTCTTGAAAAATCTTAAAGTAGTCTTAAAGAAATCTGAAAAAAAAATGTTAAAAAATTTTTAGGCTATTTTCAGATGACATCACAGTGACAGCTCCGGAAAGTTATTATGGAGCGTCTTTAAATTGTCTTAAAATTATCTTAAATTATTCTTAACAAAAAATTTAGACTATTTTAAGATGGGCTAACAGCGACAGAGCCCCGGAACATTAAAACGGAACGTCTTAAAAAAGTCTTGAAATTGTCAGATAATAATTTTTTAACAATTTTAAATTCAATTTAAAAACATCTTACTCAAAAATATTGCGGTTAGAAAGTCGTAAAATCATCTAAAAATTAATTTTCACAACAAATTCAAGAACAAAATTTTCAAAAATCTGCTCTCGGAATTTTTCTTTTGGCGTCTTAAAAGAGTCTTAAAATAGTCTTAGTTTGTGTCACGTTTAAGATCTTAATAACGAACGACAATTTTAAGACAATTTTAAGACGATTTTTTTTTACACGGGCGATTTTTAAAAATTTTCAATTTTCTTAGCGGGAAGTTAAAAAATGTTTGGTCATGCTTGAGCTTAACGTGTGCAAAATAATCAACTTACCGTATGATTGATGAGACGTGATTTAATTTCTGAACTGTGAATGCTGCTTCCATTTGAAAAGTGACCAGTAAATACGCAACAGTAGCATAGAATGATTTGAATCAGCCGCATTATTAATCTGTTAATTGTCAATTAAGAAAACCAATCGTGCACAATTGGATATACTTTGGATTTGATATATTTAAAAAAGCGACGTTGATGATTCGTTTGATGAGCTTGCGACTAAGCAGTTTGAAGTTAAGTTGCTGACTGAATGCTTTGCAAAATGTGTGACTTTGTTTCGAATCGTTGCCAATGACAACTGAAGCTCATAGTGTGGCAAAACATCGTAAAAATTATTGAAGAGCTTCGTGAAAAAGACACGTCAGCTAGGTCAGCTATTGTTTGGTTTTGAAAGATAAGTTTTTATTGCTTCCATAAAACTGGCTGAGGTCTTCACAAGAGCTGCTGGTGCTGTAGAAACTATAATGATCATAAATTGCCCGGGATCTGTGCTCTAGCTCTTTCGTTCCACTAATCTTTTATCGGTAAGCAAATAATAATATACATTACAAACTTGACGGTCGGATATTTTCATCCGGTGCAACCAACGTGTCGATTTATTGATTAGGTGAAGAAATTAATAAAAGCTGAATAAAAAAATCTAAAAAAATCGGTTGACCTTATTGCCGGCCATTCTTAAATCTTTCCGCTAATGCACGACTCATGATGCAAAGCATCAGAGAGTGCTTTACGATCGAAAAATTTTTTTCGCCCCATTTTGGCAACTATTTTTAGTATTAGAGCCTTGTTAGTTCACGGAATCAAGATATTTTGCATTCTATTGTCGAGATAATTTAATGGAGATTAATTGCACACTTGCTAAAAATTAATTTAGTGCAATAGAAACGGAAAAAAATATCAAAAAATTTTCCTGTCCGTCATGTATGAAACTCCGGAAACACTGTAACTTGTGAAAAAATCAATTATTTGAGTTAAATTTTTTTTTTTAAATTCTAATCGACAATTGTAGGTCACCGAATGCGAATGGCTAATGAATTCAGTGTCGTTTAATTACAATTAATAAAAAACGAAAACTACAAGATTGTATACCTATTAGGGTGGCGCAAAAAAACCGACTATTTTTTTTTCTTAGTCTCGAGTGAAAAAATGTTACAAAATTTTTAAGAGGTTACTCCAAATTTTTCAAAATTTCAAAAATTGTCAAAAATCGAATTTTTTTTTTTTTTATTTTTTTTCTCGTTACGGTATAATTTTATAGACCAAAAAACAATAAGTTTCTGAAAGTTTCAGTTCAAAATTTAAATTTTGAAAGGTTGCTCATAATTTTTTTTATTTTTCGTTAATTAGTCATATTGCCGACTTTAAGTGTTGGGAGTGGTATGTTGGGGTCTTTTTGGTTTGAAAAAATCTTAACAAACGCGGCAAGGTCAAATCTCAACCCCAAGGTCAAATCTCAACCGGCAAGGTCGAATCCCAAGCTGGTTTCTAAGACCAGCTTGGGATTCGAACTCGCGCCTGGCAGTTGATTGAATAAAATTATTAAATTAAAAAAAAATTATATTTTTTATGTTGTGCTTGATTTTTAGTTCATCTCGTGATGTATTCTCATATCGATTATTGTACTAAATAAAAAAAAAATGCATGGAATTTTAATTTGAATAGTAAAAGGTCGCTCGAAAAAATCTAAACTAATGCACTAATAAATTGAAAAAAATTATGAGCGACCTTTCAAAATTTGAATTTTAAACTGAAATTTTTAGAAACTTATTTTTTTTTTTAGTCTATAAAATTATACCGTAACGAGAAAAAAAATTAAAAAATAAAAAAAATTTGATTTTTGACGACTTTTGAAATTTTGAAAAATTTGGAGTGACCTCTTAAAAATTTTTTTTTGAGCTGTCCTTTGGTGAGGGCTCTTAAAACATCAAAAACTAACATTTTTTTCACTCGAGACTCAAAAAAATAAATAGTCGGTTTTTTTGCGCCACCCTAATACCTATGTATATCCATGTACAATGGATAACATGGATGGTGATATATCTATATCTATAGATATTATGTACATTTATTCCACCAGAGGCGCTTGTACAGTACCTTCCTAGTACAGCTGTTTTTTCGGCAACTAATTTTGAACGACTTATGTTTTTTTTTTTTTAATATTTTATAATTAAATAAGCATTATGAGTCGTGCACTTTTGGATTTTCCAAACTTTTTACAAACTTAAATAGCTTGAAAAACTATTTATTGCAAAGTAAAAATTTTAATTAGAGCAACTACTCTAAAAAATAAAAACAAAAATATTTTCATAACAACTTTATTGACAACCAACAACAAAAAAATTCAAAATCAACCCTTCCTCTCACTAGGAGATCCGTAGGACCTTGAATTAGTATAAGCAAAAAGTTCGTCCTCCGGCTTGTAAGAATAAGAACACTGTTCCGAGTTTCCGTTAGTCTTAGGGTTGACACAGACCGTGCAAATCATTCCATCTCTTTCTTCTTCCTTACAATTTCCATCCCCTCTTTCCCTGCTGTGTTCCTCCTCTTCCACCTCTCTTTTTTCCACAGGGTAGCCGTAAGTATCCCTGCGGCTGTTCTGCGGATCTCTGCGGCTGCCGTGCGGATTTCGATCTTCCGCGGCATTATCTTCGCGCCTGTAACTCTGGCTCTTCTCTACACTCTTAGGCTTCTTCTTACCCTCACTTTTAGGCACCCCAAAGCTTCGAGACCTACTGTAGCCGTACACACTCTCCTTGGGTTGATACGCGCGTCTGCACCTCTGAGAATTTCCGCCATTTTTCTCATCCTTGCAAACCGTACAAATAGTTCCGTCCTCTCTCGCAACTTCCTCACAGTCGTTAGACTCCGCCTTGGATAATCTTTCGGATTTTGAAGTATACTCAGGGTAGTAATCTCCGAATCCTTCAAAATCTTCGGAGTAGTTCGACGAATCCTCGCTTTCGGCGCTCTCGTCGTACCGACGGAGATTTTTGTATTTTTTGTTCACGTTCTTATTTTTTGCGGATTTTTGTGGGGAAAGTTCATCGATGTCCGGCTCAGGTCGTGGTTTTTTCTGTCCCGAATACTTTTTTGGAGGGTGGGAGATGTATGCGCACTGTTCGGACTTTCCGGTGTTCTCGTCGGAACACACAAGGCACATCATTCCATTTTTTATAACCTTTTCGCAGTTCTCGGAGTTTTCCCGCGCTTTTGGTTCTGAAGCTTCGGGTTTGAAATATTCGTCGAAGGAATTACTTGGCGCGCTGGTAGATGGCGCTGGAACCGACTCGGATGTTAGAGGGAACGTTATGGCTGACGCTGAACAGCTGACGCTCAGGATCAGGATAACCTGGAAAATTGTGCGTATTAAGACTCGGAATAATTATTATTTTTATGAATTTGAATACAATTTTATAAAAATTAATGGATATATTTATAAGAAAAATAGACATGCATTTTAGGTCGATATATTTCTATATAATTTTATATAACTCGAGAATTCTATATGTATTTTGTTAAGCTATAACTTTGAGATGAAATTATGAAAAATTATATGAAGTTTTGTAAAATTATATGGAATTAGATGAAATTGAATGTTGTATAAAATAATATGAAGTTGGATGTAATTGTATAAGATCTTATATAATTTTTAAAAAATGATGTGCGGTTATATAAAATAATATAAAGCTATTTAAACAGTAGCGTAAAGTTGTAGAAAATATTATATGAAATATTGTAAAATTTTATAAATCTAAACGAAGTAAATTAAAAATAATACAAAGTTGTATAAAATTATATGAAGCTGCATTAAATCAAATAAAATTATGTAAAATTGTAAAAAATAAATGAAGTTGTGTTAAATTATATGAAGATGCTAAAAGTTACATGAAACTATAAAAATTTGCATGAAGTTCTATAAAATTATTTGAAGTTGCATAGAATCGCATAAAATTATGATAAATTGCATAATGAAGTTGAAAAAAGTTTCATAAAATTTTTAAAATTTGCATGAAGTTGTATAAAATTATATGAAGTATAAAATCAAATAAAATTATGAAAAATTAATGAAGTTGAATAAAATTATTTAAAGTTGCTAAAAGTTACGTGAAATTATAAAAATATGCATGAAGTTGGATAAAATTATATGAAGTTGCATAGAATCATATAAAATTATAATAAATTGCATGATAAAGTTGAAAGAAGTTTCATAAAATTTAAAAAATTTGCATGAAGTTGTACAAAATTATATGAAGGTGCAAAAAATTACATAAAATTATAGAATTCACATGAAGTTGTATAAAATTATATGAAGTATAAAATCAAAAAAAATTATGAAAAATTAAATAAAGTTGTATAAAATTATTTAAAGTTGCTAAAAGTTACATGAAATTATAAAAATATGCATGAAGTTGTATAAAATTATATGAATAAGTTGTATAGAATTACATAAAATTATAATAAATTCCATGAAGTTGTATAATATTGTTTTAAGTTGCAAAAAGTTACATAAAATTATAAAATCCACATAAAGTTGCGAAAAATTATAGAAAGTTGCATAAAATGACATAAAGTTATGATAAATTGCATGAAGTTGTGTAAAATTATATGAAGTTGCATGATATCACATAAAATTATATAAATTTATAATAAATTACATGTACTTGTATAAAATTATGTCGAGTTGCAAAAAATTATATTAAATTCTAAAAATTCAGATGAAGTTGTATAAAATTATGTAAAATTGATTAAAAATATAAAAAATTATATGGATTCGTGTGAAATTCAATATAATATAAACAATAAATTACATCAATTATAAAACTAAATAAGAATGTTTAAATAATTACCTTATAAAACTCCATTGGTCCTAAAATTTTTTGACCACTCAAAAAAAAACCATAAAATCTAAATTATATTCTTTCAAAGTAATAACAATGATTACAGAATGTATCTCTTCGATAAAATGAATTCTATTGTTCCAATTTAATCGATTTTATATTAAATCGTAACAATTGCACTCAATCGTAATCGAGACTCCCACTCTAAAATTTTTTTCTCAAGTAAAAGTCGTTGTAAACAAAACCACAAGTTACACAACTTTTTTTCTT